ATCGGTCGTTGTAATTCTTTACACCACCATGGATCCGATGTTCGATCAAAGTGTGATGGAAATTGTGGATTGATTGTATTTAATTTACATTCTGCGTGTGTAACCAATAAGGCTTGTACATAATGTAAAAATAATGACGAAGCATTTTCAGGTACTAAAACATAGAAGAAGATATGCAAAAAACAAGTTTTTCAAATAAACACATTGTTGACTGAATTCAAATGTAAAAAGCAATACCTGCCAGGACTATGGAAGCATTATAAATATCTAAATATTGAGATAAAGGCCAAAGATCAACTTTAGCTTTAAAGAAATAATATTGTTCTTGTTTTTGTCGTTGTGAGAAACGATGATTTTGTGGAGGATTTGGTAGATGACTCATTCACCAATAAACCATTTCATCACTTCGAGTATCATTTGTTTCATGAGATTGATTAAATTTTTCTTCGGTAAAATGACGTAAAAGAAAACTTGATCGCTGCTGATTGATTGTATCGTCGATATCGGCTTGTTCTTTTGACATTGGTACAAGACACCAATAGATAAAATGAAATGTAAGAAATAATTGTAATGCTACGGGACAATGTGCGACATGTCGATACAAATTCATGGCATCATTTTTTATGATTCTACAATAGAGAAAACAAAAAACAAAAAGGATTTCATTTGTTCAAATTCTATCGTTCGTGTTTCGTAAGGTTGCTCATACTTATCAGTATTGTTTATTAATGCTGCTGCGGCGGATCTAAAACGTAGGACTATTTGTTCACCTAAAAGAAATTCACGAATAATTCTTGAACATTGAATACGATGATAGTAGAGACGTTTATAAAAAGCACCCGATGTACGACCAATATATTCATATTTTTCACATGGACATGTCAATGTATAGATGACATTTTTTGATGAACAACTAACATTGCAATTGAGATAGACTTGATATTGATTGACAAATGTATGCATTTGTTCATCCATATATTTTAATGACAATTGATTAAAACGTGTTGTACGATGATGTCGATAACAAAATAAACAATGTTGATTTTCACAACGTTTCATTCCATAACAAGCTTGTGGTTCTTTAATACAGAATAGACCTTCTTGTATACGATGACCATCTTCCAAAAATGTACGTGGTCGACTTTGACGAAATGAACATGTTTTCATATAGAAACAATCGACATCCATTTGTAAATAGAATTCTAATGCCCATTTCCATTCATCGAGAGACCATTTGATAGTTGGTATTCGTTTAACAAAATCTTCCAAAGTAAAATGTTCCATTGCTGAAAGCATTCGTTCATAATTGTATACTAACAAAACGACAGGTACACGCCATTGTGTATTTAAACATAGAAAAAGTTCATATAATAGATAGGTATCTTCTTTTGTTTTTAAGCTATGATGAGAATTTTCATAGGTAATCAAATCATCACAACTATGTTCTCGACGATAGATTTGCTTTGCTGATAGTAAATTAACTAGATAGAATGAGTGAGTGAGTGCAATTTGTATGAGTTCTCCTATATATATATATAGGATATATGTAATCGTCATGTTATTACTTACTAGGTACATTTGCTAATAATAAGTCATCCACAGTTAGTGATACGGGCGAAATTGATGTCAAAATTTCCGTCGTTGTCAATGGTGGTAATATTGGTACGATAGTCCAACGTCGATCAGAACGATTCATTAGAGATAATGTCTTCGGTATATAATTTATTTCATTCGTTGTCACTATAGAAGATGTAAATGGTTCTGTTTCTGGTAGTAAATCGATGATGGATGGATTTGATCTTGTTTGAATTTCCATCGATGATATGATTTGTTTTTGTAGCGAATAAATTTGAGCATTAAATGATTCAGGATTTGATTCAGATTCATCGTTCTCTTCGTCACATTCATTGGAATCAATATGTAGACATTCCAAATATTCATTTAACGATTCATTCTGTGAGGATTCACTCATTTTTTTGTTGCGTGCCGTTTTCTTTGATAAAAATTCTAATCTAAAACATACTAGTGGATTAAAATCGAATGCGTTAAATAACAACAACAACAACTACACTATAAATCTTTTGAATGAATGAACAAAAAGAAAAGAAAAACAAAAAAAAAGAAATGTACAAACAATGCCATTATCTTATTGTTTCACATATCTACGAATTTCTACGATTGTCTAATTACAAACAAGACAAAAACGAAACAAAAAAAAATGATTTTCAGAGAAAAGAAATGGTTTGTTCATGAGTTTTTTTGCAAGTTTTCACACCATATTCGTGTAGTATCATAAGGTAAATTATACAATTGTTGCATATCATGAGTAAGTAAATTTATCGAATTAAGTTTTGTTTCAGCATGTGTAGCTAATAAAATTTCAATCATTTGCCGAACCATACTAGACGTATGATCGGGTAAGACAGCAATTATTGTTATATGATAATAATCTAAATTTGAACAAGATGTATATGTTTCTAAATTCATCTTTCGAAAAAATTCATATTGCTCATCCTTTTGTCGTTTAGAAAATGAATAACCAAGAGGCAATTGTGGTACATTGAATAGAAAGTTTTCTATTCTTTTGTCATGCTCCAATGATGATTTGTTATTTTGATGTTGATGACTGGATGACATAGTGGTTGTGTTTAATGAAGTTGTTGTTGTTGTTGTTGTTGTTGTTGTTGTCATTGTTTGATAAGATAAATCATCAAAATGACTTTCCTCTATTTTCATTGGTACAAAACACCAATAATTCGAATTATATTGAAGAAAAAGTTTTAATGCTACAGGACAACGTGCGAAATGTTGATATAAACGCATTTGATTTGCACGTTGTTTGTCGACTTGAGTTTTCGAACATGTGCAGAGATTATGAATTGGATGACTAAATAATAAATGTTCGATGATAAGACGATTTATATGTTGTCGATGATATTGTAAAACATCATGTAATGTATATCGAGTTGAACCAATATATTCATATTCACCACACATACATTTTAATACATAGACAATATTTTCTGTTTTACAATTAGCAGATTGATTTAAAATAGCTAAATAATTATTAAGAAATTGATATTGATGACCATTTCCATTTGAAAAAAGTACTACATTTGATAAATTCGAATATGTATCTGATGTTGATTTATCAATTGATGAACATAAGATACAATGAGGACATCGACATGGATTAAAATCATATTTTGTATAGAAAATTTCTTCATTGGAAAAAAATTGAGTTTGATTAGGATGATGACTAGGATGATGATGATGAACTTTGTCACCATTGACGATGGCATGAAAAGTACAAACTTTCATATAAAATATATCAACATCGATTTGAAGAAAAAATTCCAATAGAATTAATAATTCTTGTTCATTTAACATTCTTACATATTGATCATGATGTGACAATTGAAAATGATGATCAAATAAAACCATGGACCGTTCATACAAACGATAATTGGATATAAAAACTTGTATTATATTAATAAGACGTGATAAATTATAATTGAGAATAGCTATATCAATTTGATACAAACGACTTATTTTTCCAAATAATTGTTCTACTCTATCATGTATATAGGAGGAAATTGTTTTCGATTCTAATGACATATTTAATGGATGAAGATAAATACCAGATGATCGTTGTGTTGATTCAATCGTTGATAATTGATTACCTGATACATTAGCAAGTAGAAGTGATGCGTGATCAGAAGATTCATTTAATGTTGTCATAGGAAAAGTTGCTAAGAATTGCCGACGTTCTTGATTATATCGTGTTAATGTTTTTGGTTGATATTCTTCAATAATAAGTTGATGACGAAATGAAGTTACTCGTTTCGTCAATTTTAATGGATAATACCAACGACTTTGTTTAAAAGACATTTTTTTTGGCTCTATATATATTTGTGATTGTATAAATTACTTAATTGAGAGTCAGAATAGTAATAGCAGTAGTAGAACTAGAATGATGACTATGGTTAGACGGAAGAAAAAAAATTTCATTAATAAATCCATCCTACTCTAATATGCGTGTATAATCTTTTTGGTGGTATAAGTTTGATAATGACGAGTTTAACCACCTATCTGAAATAGAAGCAAAGATGACATGGGAGAAGAGAGAGAGAAGTTTTTTTCTTTTTCCAAAACAAAAAAAGAAAGAAACAACTCAACGAAGATTAAATGATAGAAATTTTTTTCTTTTGTTTTTTTTTGAATGATTTCACATCTAGAATAACACTACTTATTTCTACTCTAATTTATAAGTGTACACAAAAGCAATATATATATATATGTATATGTCTAAGAACACTAATGTTTTCATGAATTATTGACAGACAACAGTACGGATGCTGTTTTCAATTTGTTCATCTGTTGGTCGGACAATATTTTGACACCATAGGGAATGATGCGGTGGTCCAAAACGATGTTCTATATTCATCATACATAAATTAAATCGATTCAATTTAGTTTCAGCATGTGTACTAAATAGACATGCAATCACTTGCCGTAATAATGTTGAACATTGCTCAGGTAAAACAGCAATGATAGATACGTGATAGATATCTACGGGTGTGTATAGTTTTTGATTGGTCTCGATCTTTTTTTCGAGAGATTTGAAAAATTTATATTGTTGCTGATGTTGACGTTTACAAAAGCGATAACCATTTGGTGGTATTGGTAAATGTTGAAACCATATTTCCATACTATTGTCCAATTGTATTGTAGTTTCAGTAGAATAATTTCGATCATTGATCAATGCTTGTTCTATAATTATTGGAATAATGGCATGATATTGTAGATTCTGATGGAGAAATAATTGAATAGCTTGAGGACAATGGATGAAATGTTGATACAAACGAAATTTTTCATTTACATCTAGCGAAACAAAATCATCTTGATTGTTGTTTACTATGATGTCATGTATTGATGATGATGATGATGCACATAATAAAGTTTCAGAAATGAAACGATTGCTTGTTTCTCGAATAGATTCAATTGTTTCAGAGAGATTTGATGATGTTGATCCAATATATTCATAGTTACCACAGCAACATGTTACTGTATAAATAATATTTTTTGTTTGACAAGTAGCTGGACAATTTAATATAGTTGTATATCCATTTTGAAAGCGATGTGAATGATAAGTATTAAATTCGACAACATATGAAGTAGGTGCTGTATTTGATGATGATGATGATGATGATGATGATGATGATGCAATTACATTTGATCTTTGACATAAAGGACATTGTGGTTGGCAACAGGGTAGAAAACTATAACGTATCAATGGATAGTCTGCTTTGCAAAATAATCCTTCGTCGAATGATTGTGGCATAGCACCACGAAACATACATGTTTTCATATAGAAAACATCAACATCGATTTGAAGGAAAAATTCTAAACCTATTCGTAATTCATGAAAATCTAAATTTTTCACTTCATAATTTTCATTGTTTCTATTCACTAAAGTTAAATACGAATCAAATAGATGTTGTAAAGATTGATATCGCTCTAGAATTTTTTGGAAACGATAAAGATTAAAATCCAAGATGGCCACATTGACTTTTAATCGTTCTTTAAATTGTTGAAAATAATTTTCACTTAAATTATAAAAGTATGAATGTATTTCATGAGCCATGACCGATGAAATAAATGGACCATCTTGATTTAAAGCATAGCGACGATATAAATCTTGAATACTTAATGATACTATTGGTACATTGGCTAATAAAAGTGAACGGGTCGCATTGTTCGTGGATCTGACAAAAGGAAAGCATGGCAAATACGAACATCGATCCATATTCATTGAATTTAATGTATTTGGAACATAGTCTTGCTGATATTGAACATTCATCATGATTCTGTATGTATAGCAGCAGAAGAATAGCACGATGCTAATGATATAGCTACTACGGTCAAGTTCGTTAATCTAAAAGAAAAAAAAAACAAATAAAAGTATACGAGACTGAGAATGCTAAGATACTACGAAGAAAATGAGATATATGTATTAGAAAAAAAAAAAAAAAAAAAGGAAAAGTTTTACTCATTTAAAATGATGTATGAACAAAAATTTAACATATTAGACAAGTATACACGCAAAAGTTAAATGTAAATGTGTATTCTAATTTCTTTTTTGTCCATATATTTTCATTCATTTAATTTTGCTTCTGTATGTAGAATAAAAAGACCTTGAATGAGAGTACGCACTAGACTTGAAGCAGACTCTGGAAGAATGGCTATGAGAGAGAAACGATAAAGATCGGGTGTATGTAAAGTAACTTTTTGTTTTAAAGAACATTGCTGATAGAATTCATGTTGCTTTTCATGTTGTTGTTGTTGTTGCTGTTGTTCTGATTTCATGACAGTTGTTGTTGTTGTGGTCAATGATATTGTTTCATTAAGATTTGATATTTCATTTGATGATTTCGACATTTTCAATTGATTATCCATAGTGATCAAATTACCATAGATCGGTTTTTGTAGTATGAACGAAGGAATAAAACAAGTATAATCTGGATTATATTGTAGAAAAACTTGCCAAATAGCAGGACATTTAATCGCATGCTCATATAGTAATTGGTCACAGACAGAACTAAATAATTTAGTATTTGATAATGATGATGATGATGATGATGATGAGGTTGTTGTTGCTGAAGTTTGATTATATAAACCAAAAAAATATTCATGTAAATATACATTTAATGATCGTCGATAATAATGTATTACATCAACTACACGTTGACTTGTAGAACCGATAAATTCATATTTCTTGCATGGACATGTAAAAACATAGATAATATTCATTGTTTGACAGGTTGCTGGACCATTTAATATAGATTGATATTGATTAGCAAAACAATGTTTCATATACGAATCAAATTGAATCATTGAACCTGATAAGAATGAAGATAATTGACATAAATAACAATTGATTTGTTTACAATGTTGAAGTGTATACGATACAACAGGCTGTTGATATTCATTTTGAAAAAAAAGATCTTGATCAGAGAAATTACATTCAATTGTTATTAATGGAGAGATTTTCATATAGAACATATCGACATCCATTTGTAGATAATATTTCATTGCCATGGCCAGTTCATCTTCATTAAAAAATTGGAATGATGAAATAGCAAGTTTACTTTCGGGAAACATTCTCATGTATTCATTGTAAATAAAATTTTCTAATCGTAACAAGTTAGAATCAATTATGGATAGATTTACTTTTAAATATTGACTTAAATGTGAGAAATGTTTCTGTAATCTATAACATGCATATGATTGATATCGTTGTTGATGAGCCTTTAGGATGGTTGAAGAATCTAGTGATCCTTTTGTATAGAGTAATTGTTCTGAGCGACGTTGTAACCATTGACGTAAACTAAGGCAGCATTCTATTGCACGAGAGAGAAAAAAAGAACAACATAAGATCATAAGGTAAGACGACCAGAGAGAGAGAGAGAAATTCAGTAAAAAAAAAGTAATGGTCATTCAAATGAAAAGAATATGCCAGGCTGGCAGAGAGAGGGTGAAAAAATTTCAAAAAAAAATTGACAAATATAATGAAATTTATTTAACATACGTGGAACATTGGCTAAGAGTAATTGAGACATATCCGGTGTTGTTTCATCCATAGTTCGAAGAGGAAAACATGGTAAATAAGTGAGACGTTTCGTTCTATTGTTATCATTCAAGGTAATTGATTGATAATCATTTACCTTGTCTATTGCATGCGTATAAGTGTATTGGAGATTTGTTTGCAGTTGATTTCGAAGATTTACATAAGATTGCATCGTGAGAGAATTCATTACTCGTAATCTGTAATAAATGACAATCATATGAATTTCTTCGAACAGTCTAATCACTACTACTACAGAGAAATTGTAGAAGGTGAAATCTAATTTTTTTTTGTGCAACAGGAGAGAAACATTAATTAAAAAGAGAGAAAACAAACAATAAAAACAAATGCGACAAAGAATTTTATTCTAAATTTTTCTTGTTCCAGCAGTTCGTTGAAATGATGAAAATTAATACCATGAAATTCTGAGCTTTTTTACATCATCAACTACATCTAATAGTTTACTGATTTCATGCATAGCTATTCGTTCAATAGCTTGATGATTGCTATTCTAAAACACAACAAAATAATAAAGTAAAAAAGAACATATCTATGTGCCATAATTAGAATAAGTTCACTCTCGTATGTATTCAACGAATAAAAGACATTTTGGTACGAAGAATTCCGAAGCCCTTTTTTTGAGGGTGTGGGTGTGTGATCGGATGTTCCGAAAGGATTCTTTTTCCTTCTAAAAAAAAATTGACTGAGAGTTCGTCATCAGTTTTGATCGGTTGTTCATAATTCGAAACAAAAAAAAAAAAAAAAGAAAGGAAAAGAACAAGGGCAACCGGAAGAGTGTTATTTGGAATTTGGAATAGAATAATCGCAACTGTATATGAAGCAGTTTCGGGTAATCGAAACACAAAACACATGGGTGTTTGTAATCTAATTTATCTGGAAATTGTAAATCTTTTATTCTAATATTCGTCCCAATTACAAAGCTTTTCTTTCTTTCTTTCTTTTGTAAAATTAAGAATAAAATTCATTTATATCATGTATAAATCTATTGATGATTGTATAAGTAGCATATCTATCCTCTTCTTCTTCTTCGTTTTTTGTCTATCTCTACTCACAATGCTCTAGCAAAATGTAGAAGAATGTTTGTAACTCTCGTGCTTTCATCTATTCATAAATGGCAAATCAATGAATTGCACACTAATGGTGATGCGCAACAAATAAACATCTAAACAAAAAAAACTATGAATTTTGTTGTACCTCTCATTCTTTTTGTCTTATGATAGAAGAAAACTCTATATTTTATCAAATTGGAAACCAAACCAAAAAAAATGTTTATGATTGTTTTTCATCTGTGTACCATTTCTTGTATCTCATCCTATGTCTCTCTTTCTCTAACTAAGTTCTTGTTCTTTTTTCTTTTATTTCAAGAAAAAAAAAATGTATTTATACTCATCAGAATGTCATTTGTATGCTATTCTAGAACAAAAAAAAAAAGTACTTCGATATTTGACATCTCTCAAAACAAGAGAAAACATAAACACACTTTCGAACACTCTATTCTTTTTTCTTTTCATTACAATCTTCCAGTTAGTCTCTCGTTGCAAAAACTTCACTGCAATTTTTTGGAAAGAAACATTGATATGAAATGTTTCAATCTCTATCCAACCAATTCACACAGTATTAAGTACAAATTAGAAATTCATTGAAAAACTTACGTTTAACAATAGATTATCGAATACGACAGAATTTTCTTTTGTATCATCGATTATTTTTAGTAAATAAAGTAAATATAAATAAACAAACTAACCAGTAAATATGAGAGGAAAGAAACAATATCAAATAAACATACACATTCACTATGCTACTTAACAAATCGATGAATATAAAGAATGAGAAGAAAAAAAGGATAAAAATTTTAAAAAATTACCAAATAACAAGAAAGCTAGATTAACATAAGCAAAGCATCGAACAAAAAAAAAAAAATTACCAAATAACAAGAAAGCTAGATTAACATAAGAAAAGCATCGAAGAAAGAAAAAAAAAAGTACGAAACAAGACTGTGCTCATTCGAAATCTAACGTTCAATTCGAATATCGGAATGCAACCCGATGGTGTATTATTCCTGTAATTGGTTTCTCTCTACCCATTGGCGTGTCGTTTGCTCAAATTCATTCGGTTCACCAATACGCGCTTCTTGCGAACCAATAAGGGAACGAACTGATGAATCTTCATCACTATCAGTTTGACGACGATTTGGTGGTTTGCAGAAATATTCACCCTGACCTAGAAGACATCTCTCATACTAGCATTTTATTTTTACATGGAATTATTTTTAATTCGACTGTACCCATTCGATAGATAAGTGCTCTTTTATTCCAAAAATTAGCTTCAGCACAACCTGGAATTGTTGTTGGTCTCGTGGCTAATGATCCAACATCGGTATATTCATGAAGAAGTACAATAGCCGGTTGTGTTACATTGATTGTCGTCGTACCTCGATATTTATCTGTAGCCTAGAATAATTATTTTTTTTGTGTGTTTGTATATTAGAATAGACATATTGAGAATATGTCAAAATAAAAGAATGTAGTTGAGAAGGAAAAGAACTTTTTTTTTTTCAAAAAAATATGATATATAGTTACTTTGAGTCGTCCTTTTTGTAAGAGAAGACCTTTTTTATTTGGAAAATTCAATTTATCAAAGTCATCCCAAGGTATTTCATCGAAGACTGAATATCGTGCATAATCACTCCATTCATCCAAATGCCATCGGCCAAGGAAATAATTGACACGACCTGGTAATGATAGTGCAAATGCTGTTTTGCCAACAGATGTTGGTCCAATTAAAATAAGACATTTTGCTCCATTTCTTCGTACAAAATGGTTCGTTAACCAATAATTCATTGCATCTCCTACGGTAGAAAACATATATATACACCCGTGGGGAAAAGTCTTTTCCCCACCTCCATCTCTTTTCTTACCAAAGTTTTCTCTGCTATTATAAGGACAAAAACATGATGTTGTTCGGGCCATATAAAAGAGGATCCCTAATAACCTCCTCATCGGTCAGAACAACACCCATGTTTTGTCCTTATAATAGCAGAGAAAACTTTGGCAAGAAAAGAGATGGGGGGGGGGGGGTGAGAAAGACTTTTCCCCACGGGTATATATACTAAGACAGAGTGAGAGAGATGTATATATGTACATCGTTTTTATCTAGAAGAAATGATTATTTTTGATTCTCTATTTTGTTTTTCTTTTTTGTTTTCTTCTAAACTG